TATGATAGATACACAAATATTTTACTGTTTTATATGATAGATACATAACTATTTCACTGTTTTATATGATAGATACATAACTATTTCACTGTTTTATATGATAGATACACAAATATTTCACTGTTTTGTATGATAGATACACAAATATTTCACTGTTTTATATGATAGATACACAACTATTTCACTGTTTTATATGATAGATACATAACTATTTCACTGTCCCTATCTACTATCTAGCGAAATCACAGCCAAGGGAAGGTGCTTTATATGATAGATACACAACTATTTCACTGTTTTATATGATAGATACACAACTATTTCACTGTTTTTTATGATAGATACACATCTATTTTACTGTTTTGTATGATAGATACACAACTATTTTACTGTTTTGTATGATAGATACACAAATATTTTACTGTTTTATATGAAAACACAACTATACATACACAACTATTTCACTGTTTTATATGATAGATACACAAATATAGATACGAATTTTGAATTTTTTAGTTTTCTCAACTCAAAAAGCAACGAAAAACAGCTGGGTTCGTTAATAACCGAAAACTTGGCACACTAAGATTCGTGCTTAGAATGAATGAATGATTATAACTTCTACGCCTGTTTTTTACTGTCTGGTTCATTACGAGAAAGATTATCTGATTATTTCGTGCTTTGAAATGGCCCATGGTCATTTTGGTTGCTGCCAAAATAGTGAAGATGCATCCACAAGGTTAAGTAGTTTTCAAGGTCAAATGGCCCACCTAGGACACAAAAACCATCTGAATTTGAGCCTAGCCTTCTTTTTGGGTTTTTCAACCAAAGGACCAAACTTTGAAAAGCTAGCATCATCCCTCTTGTCCTTTTTTTCATTTGTTAAAATCCACCTTCTTGATTCCTACACTTTATTATAATCCAAGGGTTATTTAACCAACTCTTTTATACTCTACTGTTTAGCTTATTTCTTCAAAATTATAATTTAGCATATTGTTTTTCATTACAATTTTCTATGCGACCAAAGATTTTTTATGAGTTTAACTACGACTAAATGTCATATAATTCCAACAGTTTCACACAAAAAACGCATATATCGAGTGTTTCAGTTCATGTTATTCGCGTAACAACAATCTAATAGATAGCATGTGTGAGCATCTATCTTCCTTATGTGATATAACCGTATATTTTTATTACAATTATTTATAATTTTACAAACATTTATCGAGTTACAAAGTTACCATAATGACGCGTAAAATTGAAAGGGAAAGCTTAAAAATTAACAAAATGTTACTTAAGGATGCACAGTCTATAACAAAACACAAATAATCTTTCATTAATAACTCTTATAACTCTAATAACTCTTTCATCAGTTGATCTCACATGACAAATGTTTTCGATCTATTCTAATGCAACTGAAACCTTGTCATTTTTCCAATAAGTGTTTGAAAGAAGTCTTAGTATTTGAGACTAAAGTGGTATCCATTTCATGAAATTAAGACTCTCAAACCTCGTTTTTCTAAATTTAAGTTTTATGCTTATTAACATTTTGCCTTGTTCGAATAATTTATAAGACTTGTGTTTAAATGCTAGAATTTATACGATTGAGTTGCCTAATGAAAGGCACTTCATGCTTCAATTATTCTGCCTTTTCCTGTTGCCCCCCCCCCAGTGGCACAGCGGTATGTCTGCGGACTTACATCGCTAGAAACAGGGTTTCGATACCCGTGGTAGGCAGAGCACAGATAGCCCATTGTGTAGCTTTTTGCTCAACCTCAAACAAACAACCAAACCTTTTCCTGTTAAATGTCCACTAACAAGTTTTATTAGCCACTTGGTTAAGATTACCAAAACAAACTAGGAAGAAAATAATATGCCTCTTCACTTTAGTGCAACTAGCTCATGTTATCTTTGAATGTTTCGTTTAGTTAACTATAACCCTTGTCGGAAAATCAATCCAGTCAATACAAAGCTCGTTTACGCCATCCACATGACAGTTTTTATAAAGTTGGGTTTCCAATGGCTGTACGTTTGTGTCAATTGCTTCTTCAAGGACTATTTTCTAGTTAGGCTATGATTAATAACAAGGACAAAATATAAAAGATTTTGAATTTAATACATTTATGCATTAAT